GGGTTTGAACCGCCAGCCTTCTGGTTAGCGGTCAAGTGCTTTAGCCACTATGCTACCAGAGCTCCTATTTGCTTTAGCTACTCTCTATTCTCGATCAAGTTTCAGAGTCTCTTCTGACATCCATTTTGGTCTTTTCTTCCTTTCCTGTGTTTTTAATGTCCTTTTGCTTTCTTCACGGATGATGTTCTTGATATCATTCCACAATTCCTCTGGTTTTCAATCATTGGTGTTCAGTGCATCAAATCTATTCTTTAGTCATAGAATAATCTGTGGAAAGCATAGTTGTAAATTGCTTATATATACTATTTCTTAGATTTTATGAATCCTAATAACAAAACTGTTTTGTAAAATTTCTACATTATTTTAGTAACTGAGCAGTAGCCTGTTTTAACTTTTCTCTTTTCCTTTTATTAGGAGTTCTGGTGGTGCCGTTGGCTGCTAATTGAAAGGTGGGCAGTTCAAACCTCCTAGCTGCTCCACAAGAGAAAGAGGAGGCAGTCTGCTTCCATAAAAATTACAGCCTTTGAAACCCTGTGGTCAGTTCTACTCTGTCCTATAGTGTTGCTATGAGTTGGAATCAACTCGATGGCAGTGGATTTTGGTTTGGGGTTTCCTCTAATTACTACTTCATTCTCAAAAAAGTTATTGATACAGCTTCACAAATACTCATTACCACAATGATGTAGCTAAACAGCAGAAAAATTGACATCAGTGACTATGGAAATACTGGCAGCAATGAAAGCAACCATGCCTGCTTGTAGCTCTTGCAGTTAACAAAGTCATGTGATTTGAAGCATCATTGTAACTGGGTAAGAATGACAGCTCTGACAGGACAGCATTAGAAGGTTCAAAAAGCAATGGAGCATGGGAACCCCAGCACCAATGAACCTGAGACCAGAAGAAATAGATGGTGCCCAGCTCCCACTGCTGACTGCTCTGAAAGGGATCACAATAAGAGGTCCTGGATAGAGCAGCTACTCAGCTGCTCCATAGATTCCAACACAGAGTTGATTACCAGTCTCACCAAGGGGAATAACTACATTCAGCTGCCCAGCCACTCTACCAGGCCCAGCCAAGTTGACACATAGCCTTAACTACCATACAGGGGTTAAGTTCAGTTTCTAGCTTGAAGGGTATCTAAGGGCCATAGTCTCAGGGGTTCCACCACTCTTCAACAGACCAGTAAGCCTGGTCTTTTTTATGATTTTGAGCTTTGTTCCATATTTCCGAAACCCAAGGAGGGGTCGCTATGAGTCGGGTCTGATTCGATGGCACATATCAACAACAATAGTGTTTTAGCCTCAAAAAAAAACAAAACCCAAACCCACTGCCATCAAGTCAGATGCGACTCATAGCAACCCCTCCTTGGGTTTCTGAGGCGGTATCACTATGGAAGTAGATTGCCCAACCTTCCTTCCAAGGAGTGGCTGGTGGGTTTGAACTGCCAGCCTTCT